GAGGTTTATCTAAGGTCATATATACTGAATATAAAATTAATCGGACAAGCAGATTTCAAGAAGTCGAAAATATCGATTTTTACCCCAAAATATAAAAATATTCAACAAAATTAGAGAATCGAAGACATCGTAACGAAATTAATAAATATCAGGTAGCTATATATTATCTAAGCAATCAGATGAAACAATATTCATCAAAACTAGAGAATTTAATATGTCGTTACAAAACCTGAGGTGCCTATATACTAAACTTAAAACGATCGGACTTGCCGTTTTCAAGAAAAAGTTGAAAATATCACTTTTTACCAAAAATTACAAAAAATACCACAATAGAGAGATAGAGAGGTCCACCAATATACATATATACTGTGTATCAACCAATCAGGCCTGTGATATTCAGGAAGAAGTCGAATATATATATATATATGCTGTGTTCAAGAACCCAAGAAAACGACCTCAGGTATGCCTGAAAGCGAGTTTACCGTCAACTTCCGCACCTGCGCTCCATTTTCCGGTTGATTAATGAGTAATGTCTCCAACAAACAGTTTTCAAAGACGACGGGCAAACACGCTCGTGAAGAGAACAATGCTCTCCCTTAGTAATAGCGGCTGTGCTAATATTTGATGATGTAACATGTGTATTCAGGGGAATGTGCGCACCTAACGAACAGTAAGGCCGTTTGATTCGTTCAATAATTCCAGTTCAACAACCTTTCGATTGGAAAATATTTTTACCCCCTCATCACAATGATATCAAATCATCGTCATCAACTAATTATAATTTTTCCTCATTAAAAATCACTAACCATGTCATCCTGCGCTATGCCCTCAATATAATTCTGATGTGATATGAAATCCCAAATAATGCCCTTTTAAAATTAAGATGGGCCGTAGAAATCTCGGTGAGATGTCTAATTGTTAATCAATAAATCATTCAGGTGTTCAATAAGAAAAGTAAGAATTTCCAGAGTCAACTTCAGACAAATGTCTATATCGTGATCGTAAATGTGACATAAAATGTCTCCAAAAATAAAATGATAATAATCAGTATATGTTTCACCCCAAAGTATTAAGCTATCGGCTTCGGTAGACAGGAGACGATACGCATGGCAGGGCTTGATCTGCAAACATTGCCCGTGCGAACAATGATGCTTCTGTCGATCAATGTGATGGTAATTCGTCTAGCATGGGTCACGTGATCAAGAGACAGAATAACTGTTTGGTTTTGTACTTTTGTAACGTATTGGCGTGGTTTTATATGTATTGTGTGTTGTTCCAGTCCCGGTGTCCTTCTCAACGCTAAGCAAATCCAAAAATGAAAAAATACTAACATTACGCATAGAAGATAAGCTACACTTTCCGTTGAAAAAAATAACAAAGCCATTGGCACCAATTGGAGGAAACAAAAAAAAATTACAACAATAGTATTATTGATCATTTACACTTTAAAATATTTGATTTAATGAGTAGACATTGATTGCATTTTGTGGGCACGTCTGAACTCCAGTTTTAGATTAAAGGTTTCAAACTTCTAAAGAGTTTCATCCAACTTGATTCCCCGCGAATCGTGACAGGAGCCTTGGTTGAATGAACATCATGCTTAGAACGTTAAAAATTTACTTGGGTTGGGGTACTCGTAGTCGGAAACAGCCGTCTAGGGTTCATGGAGCAATGAACGAATGAACGAATGAATGAATAAACGAATGAATGAATAAATAAATGAATGAATGAGGATGGACAAATGAATAAATTAATATTCATTGCATTTTTTGAAAATACAGATTTAAATGTATTAAATGTATTGTAAATAAAATGATAAAAGCAAACTGTTGCCAAAAAAATTAAATGTGTTCATATTAATTTTCAACACTTGCATGTTCTTTTGGCATGTGTCAGCTATTATGGAGTGGGTCAGATTTTAAATAAACTTATAATCTGACTGGGTGGTATGCTATTATTTTTAGATTGAGCTCGACGAACTGTGCTATTCCGAAGCAAACTTCAGCAGCAAGCTGATTTTAGTCTCCAGTCAGTTGTGAAGATAGCGATCCAAGCTGCAAAGTAACATTATCTGTGTCTGGCCATCTGAAAAGTGCGTCTGTCACAGTGAGAAACCTACACCCCCCGCGGTTAAATTGCCTTATCTTAGTTCGCTGTAGTGCACTTGAACTTCTGGGAAAGATTAGTTCGTTAAAGCGGTTCCGCCCCGAACATTAATCGAACGAGTGCAGTCCAGCATGTTTTAATTGACTAATTATTGAAGTGGATGCCGATAGCGTTTAATTATTTTTTTTTTCTGAATTTACTGAAAATCAGGGACATTAATGGTTGTAGAATTACAGTCATGTAAATTATGTGAAATTATCGCAACTTTATTCACGTCAACAACAATAACGACCACAACAATAACAACAACAACAACAACAACAATAACAACAACAGCGTCTACTTACCGATAGCATTGACAGAGATTTTGTTTTTTGTGCGTCTTCTGTATCGATATACATAAAATCCATCCCCTTCCTCCCCTTCCTGGTTTGTCCCTCCGTGTCCACCACAATAATATTATCGTTGTGCTCTATGTCTACCATTCGATTGTCCTTGAAATCGAGAGTGAATAGGTACAACATAGCACATGAGGTGAATAGAATCAACTTGAGGGCGAGGACGGTCCGCTTCATGGTGGAGCGCGGTAGGTGTAGTAACATCTCCCGATGAAACCTCGAGTCAGACTCGGACACACTCACTCATTCTCTGTCCTTTT